TGTCTTGTAATGCAAATCGATTATATTTCTTCAAAATTTTAAGCACATTCAGACCAACTATTCTTCTACCCACTGCCACAAGGACACGGTCAATCCCCTGTACACTTACCTTCCCTTGTAGGGAGAAAAATTGTGAATGAAGTAACTCTGGAAGACTAAGCACTTTTACTAAGGAGGCTAAGTCCTCTAAGAAAGGTCATTTTTATCACCTAGTATAAGAAGCTAAACTTCACATATCCTCAGTATTTAAATTGACTGGAGATTGTATATATCAGAAGACATGATATTGTTAAGAGACAAGTTGAAGGATATTTTTGGATTTGCTTTGTTTTACTCTTCAGTCTAGCAGATTAGAGATAGTTAGAAAGTTTAAATCGTTGCAGAAAAATACAGAAGCTCCATTTCCTTTGCACATCTGAGTAAATTAGTATTAGGGGTAGAGAGGCCTTAAGAGAGTCGTAACCAATTTTTCGTGGTCTCAGCAATATTCCTTGAAGTACTCAAATTCTATTCTTATTAGCAAGAAGTGTGAAGAATTGGCTGAGAGTGAAAAGTCAACAGATTTGCAAGAGATTTAGAGAACAAAGATCATATGTACCTGCACAACTGGGAATGCTGAGACATTCAGTGGGTGTCAGCATGGAAGCCAAAGGCTATACATGATATTACAACTCAGCAAATGCCAACCCACATAGATACAGGTGGTCAGAAGCCAAGTACCTGCTTGTTATTACCCTTTATGAGCCCCTAGATTTGAGGTGATTACTGGGAGAGAAAGGAACAGCAAAGAAAAATCTGAATTTATTTTGTTTCCTACTGAAATGCCTGAAATATTCGGAATACACTAAAAATTTTCTATTGGCCATCAGCTGGAATTGGGGCTAGAAATAGGTATAAAGGTGAGTTAATGAAAATACAAAGGGAGTAGCATCTTTTTACACACCATTTTATGTGGTCTGATAATTCATAAGGAGACTATTCAATAAATAACTCCTACTACTAATAATAGTTTGGGGATCATAGTATATGAAACATCTCACAATGTATGAGTTTTTCCTTTTTGTTAATCTAGTTTCTTTTACTGTATTGTTTCTTAAAATAAGAGGAGGCCAAGAAACACCAATAAAGAAGGAAAGGGTATAATTGTGTAAAAGATATTCCTGACAGCTAAGAAGGGTAGAGATTGAGAAAGAACTGAAGGCCATGTTTAAAGAAATGAAGGATGTTTTCAAACCTGACTGTCTTTATTTATCATCCCAAAGACAACAACTACGGGATGTATTAGACTCAAGAGTTCTGGGGGGGAATTTCAGAATTGC